ATGTTCACAGGGCCATTGTCTCTTGTCATGCTGGTATTTGAAAATGTCTAGGTCAAATGCTAAAGAAGACATACCTCTAGTTGACCCAGTGAGGCATACAGTCCCCACCTAATGGGGCCAGGTGGGGCCCAGGTATGAGCGCTGCTCCCTCTGCCTCCAGCCCCATCGTGAAGGGTTCTGTCCTCAGAATAGGAAGGGTGCAGTGGAGCTGGGAGGTGATGAGGGACAGGAGCACAGTGGCACTGCTCCCTCTGAGGATAAGTCCCCCATTCAAGTGCCTTGAGCTGCAGCTTTGCATTTGTGATGGTTCTGCTGCCCCAGGGAGGAGGCTGGAGACTGGAAAGCTGCTGTGAGCAGAGCAGCAGGTGTCAGAGCCAAACCAAGACAAGACAGGGCCATCCTGACCAGGATGCGGCTTTGAAGCCTGCGGCTATCACCACACCACTGGGCAGTCAACCTCCCCAAGTTCTGCACTTTCTAGAACAATGTCAAATCTAATTTAAACATTTTGAGTCAGTGCTGCTATTTGCTGTCAAAAGTCCAATGTATTAAAAAGAGCTGAAGAAATAACCTCAGGCCTCAACACCAAGCAATGTGTCAAGTACATTTGGAGCACGGCTCAGCTGCCGAGCACAGGTCAACTCAGGTATGAAGGAATTTCCTGAATTGCTCATATCTTAAATATTTATAAGGAGTTTTGAATTGAGCCAGAATAGTAAAATGCCTTGTTCTCTGATCTGTCACCAAAGATACTGCGTCCCAAATATGTATGAAAAAGACTGATTTGCAGAGACATGCTGACATGTCTGTGACGTTTTCTTTGAAAATCAGAACTTTTAAAGTTCTACAAATCCATCAAATGTATACCCCAGTTGAGAACTCCTTTTGCTTAAAAGAACATTGGTCATTAAATTTCAGGCAACTCAGCTGTGGAGGTCGGTAGTTCAATGATAGATTGCTTTCCTAGCATGCACAAGGCCCTGGGTTCAGTTCTTAACACACACACACACATACACACACACACACACACACACACACACACACACACGTTTCAGGTGATGGCACATGCATGTAATCCCAGCCCTTAGGTGGCTGAGGCAAGAGGATTGCAAATTTAAGGCTACACAGCAAGACCTTGTCTCAAAACACTGATGGAATAATAATAATAAATAACAACAACAACAACAACAATACAGAGGGACCATGGATATGGCTCAGTGACATAGTTCTTTCTTAGTGTTGTGACGTTCTGGATTTCATCCGAAGTAGCTAAATGATGATATTACTGATCACAATGGAAAGGAGACCTTGGACCAGGGAGCCCTTCCTGGTCCAGAGCATCCCAGCCTCTGGCTTCTGTTGGCCCCACTGTAGACTCAGGGTTTCTCTGAGAGTAGCCCCTGCACTTATCCTTAAGCAGAAAGTATGGAGTGAGGCTCAATGAAGGGGTTAAAAATATGCCACCTGTCATAGTGGCCATTTCAGGAGCAAGATCTCTGTGACCTTCATTCTGTTTCTTTTAAGCATGCAATGAAATTCCACATGAATACCCTTTCTAGCTCAGAAATACAGTGTTCTTATCAGAGGCAGGAAGTTGAGGCCTGGAGAATTTGTTGTTAAACAGCCTTATCTTCCTAGCTGTTCTCTGCCTGAATCATTGGGAACCGAGGCCTATCACAAACCCACAGCTTACCATGCTTTGTCCAGTCTGAACCTCAGCAGGACTTCTAGATGCTTCTTTGGGTCCTCATTTTCTTATGGGGTTTCTATGCCACATAAAGCTTACATTAGATTTATGTGTTTCCCCCTCCATTCATCTAGCTTATGTCATTTTATCTGTGGATCCAACAAGGACCCTTTGAAGATAGAGGTGAAGTTAGTTCCTCCTGGGTCAGCAACCTGTATTTGTTAAGTCCTGGGGGAACCGAGGGAAGAGGGTGAGTCCAAAGATTGGGTTCAGACAGCGACTCCTGTGACCTGACCGCAGGTTCCCAGAAAAACCCTGCATCTTGAACTGAACTTCCTGCAAGGGTGACCATCTGATTAACACTTCAATGACTGTGGAGAGTTTGGAATGTTGCTGATCCAGAGCTTATTTACAATTGTTTTGGGCTATCTTAGCCCCCAAATGGCTACTCCTTGCCCACCTCAGTTTCAGACCTCTACATCTTAGTGATTAATAGAATACATTAGCTTAACAATGAAACAGTTCTGTTCCCCCCAATCAAAAGGCTAAAACTGTCATCAGACAGCATCAGAGACCTATAGTAGAACCTTCTCCCATTGCTTTGCAAGGACCTGCCTGCTGAATGTATCCACCAGTGTATTTGAAAAGTGTCTTTTCTTTGTTCTGTTACTATAAAAACTTGATGAAACTGCTTCCACGCTGGAACATGGAATTTGGGGTGACCTGAATCTGTGTTCCTGGACCATGGTCACTCAGATTTGGCTCCAGAATAAACTATGTAATACCCCTTTGAGGTGAGAGTTAAGCTTTTGTGTTGACACCCTAAACCACAGGGTTGCTTCCCACCCAGCAGGGTGCTGGGCAGAATTTACTGTGGGGGGTAAAACATGATCAGCATGTGGATGGGTGGGTGCCTGTGGCCTGGCTGTGATGGCTTTGCTCCTTTCCTGAGGCCTTACCAACTAGCACTCCCCTGCCAGCAGGTCTGAGGCTACAGCTACAAAGCCGAAGACACCTCCTCGTCTCAGCCCATCTTGGGGTCTCGCCGCTTGAG